TTTGATTTGTGTTCACCTGTTTAGTTCTTAGTAACAAGTGCGATTAAAGGCTTTGTTAACGAGATCATTCTTAATGTCAAAGCCACGGGGACCCAAAAATCTACCAGTTTTCCTCGAAATGACAGCCGTTACATTCGATACATCTCACTCAACAAGTACCTTTAGCATTCGACGTCCGGCCCCGTGCTCTCGATTGTAACAGTAACCGTCGTGCACTCGTTATTTGACATCTTTGAATCAGTACACTAGAATATTATGGTTGACACAAGCATAGTCCAGATTACGTAAAATAATCTGTATACGATGCTGGCATGTGCATAATTATGTCTGAATTTTGGCAGTTAATGAAGTAAAGGTATTTCCATCTTCTGTTACACTGTCACACTTGCTTATATCTAATTCACCCAGTTTTTCAATTTCATCTTTGTCCAACATGAGTAGATCCACAGCTTATGGTGGTAACTCCTTGTCACGGTACACTCTTCCATTTGGGAAGATAATAAAGGAAAGCTTATTTCCCACTACCGGTATATTTATTATGAATTTTCTTCTCGATGCTCCTGCAGATTCTTTTTAATCTCATTTATTTCCAGTGGAGTCTGTGGAGTAATATAGAAAGGCGTGCTGTTAGTCTTGCCATTTCCCCCTTTGACAAATAGCTAGAGGGTGGGTTCTTTATCGTTGTAGTTCTGTAATTTCTTTGTTATTTTCCTTCGTTTAGAATAACCAGGGAATTTCTATTCGTTTTGGTGTAACCTTATGAAGCCAACTTTCAAATTCCAATGCATCTTGATCATCTCCCTCACTCAAGTGTTCAAATCTTCCTTTTCATTTTCAGCTAAGTAATGTATGAGAATAATGTCCGTTATCGAACTCCCTCAGAGGTCCACCGATTCATTCTGCTGACTGACCATTCTATCTTTGTTGACGACTTTGAAACTTGAAGTTCTTTTCGCAAATAATAGTTTATTAATTTCAGAATCTCAATTTCTCAAACGGTACTCTCATCTTGTTGGTCGATGTACTTTATACGTTCCTCTAACCCATCATCACCCAAAGATTTCGATTTATGTTAATTACTGGTTGCTGCAAAATCGTGATATTGTCCAATTTACTAGTAATTGACCGCAAGCAATCATGAGTAGCAAATTCGAACATCTGTGGTCACGCTGCAGTGACTTCAGTGACTCTCAATACCAGGGTTGAATTATTCTGTGATTTGCTCTCCTCCGTGTTATTTTAGGGCCCATAGTTTTGAAAATTACAAACTTTTTAACCCTGCAAAGTTTTGGAAAAAGGACTAAGCGAATAAATCACAGGTCGACGTAATCCTTCCTTACTTTACACTGTGACTAAACTAGGTCACGTCCTTCCGCAAGCATCTTTTAAACGTCAATTTCCGAGTTTTTTTTGTATTATCAGAATGTTTTTTAGTAACATAATGTTGCAAATGTCGAATGACAAGGTAAGTTTATTTACGAGTTCCATTTTTATTTAAAAAGCAGCTGTCAACGCTATAAAAGAGCCTGGACGTAAATTTATTGTGTAGAAGGTTGTGTTAAAAAGTCGAAAGTTCGTTTTAGCTGTTGATCAAGGTAAAATTGTTATTCAAAATTTTCCAAATATTCCTTGGAATTTTGAAGTATCCACATCTGAATTACATCAGTTATTGAATATAGTATTGCATAGTACTCTGAACGTTTCTCATTTCTTAAAAACGTAGTGAAGGGTAGAGAGAGAGAGGCTTTCCTGGACATTTACTGGAACCCGCAATGTATCGACTGAATGAAGTTTCGGAATCCAAGATATATCCATATGGTAATTCAAATTCATTTTGGTTGTTTGGAATATTAAAAACATTCAAAATTGACATATGATTTCGAAGAATTTTCTCCCTAGAAAGTGAACTATGAGTACCTGTATCTGTTGCATTACCACTTGTAGACAATTCTTCTGAAATACAATTTATAAAATGAACCCATCGTGTTATAGCTATAAATTTCGCCTTTTCGTTTGTATTTCAAGACATTTTTCACAGCAGAATCGAAAACATTGTAATGAATGTTTTCATTCAATTTAATGTTTTCAGTGTTGATGCTTTTTAGTTATCTGATACCAACTGACATGCAGCCTTTTTACTGTCAGAAGCATAGAGATATAGTGTGTAAGTCCTCGGTTGTACTATCAAACCATTGTGCAAAGGAAATATAAATATCTTTTTATAGCTATAAATGCCACCTTTCTGTTTAGATTTCAAGTTGAAAAAATTCAATTCTGGAAAGAATTCTCAGTTTAGGCTGTAAATGCTTACACGACTGTAATGGTTGAATTATTTTACACCATATAAACACTACAAAAGTAATGAAAAGATCATGGGTATCTGTTACCGATGATTAAGATCTCTTATTTATTTAAAACTAAATAATTTATATGCTCAAAGCATTCTATCCCTTTGCAAAAACCCATTAGCTCAAAACTGGTCCAAAACTGCGACCATCCTTACACGAATCCATGAAAGCGGATTTTATAATAAAGGAAATAATCACCATATACGTTTAATAAATCATCTGATTTTGACAATAGGTAAATGTTATAGGAAAAAGGATGCCGGTCTTTTAGTATTTCATTAAATGTTGTCATATATCGCCAGGTAAAAATAATAGGAGAAAGGATGCAGGATTTTAATATATTATTGAATTTTGTCATATATCAATGCGTTGCCAATTGTTTTATTTGTTTTAACTGCACTAAATGTTTTAAAAATAATAATGTTATGAAGTATTTAATTTTGTGCTGGCAAAAATGATTACTTTTCTTTTTTTCCACAAACATCTTATTGCAAATATAAATCTAATTCATCTGTAAACACAATATTTCCAATCTAAATGTAATTTATCTTTAGGAACACTATTCAAACTTTAAATCTTATTCATCTATAGGTACACTATTTATTAATTTACTAGTAACTCATAATATATACTTGTACAAACTATTCCACATCTAACACTATTTCTCCGGGATCCTTTTAATTCACTATTCAACATTTTCACCTTATGAATCAGTACAAATCTTCATCATCAACGTTCCCCTTTGTCAAAAGAAATTCATATGGATAAGACACTCGTTGCTATAAAACATAAGTACCTAAAAAACTGACAAAACTATTTCATCCTCATTAGAAAAACTTAAACGTTTTCAAACTCTGATTCAAAAGTATTTCCACAGAATGTTGTGACAATTCAAGTGTCTTTCCTAAAACAAAGAGAAGAATACTGGAGACGAGGAAGTGCTTTTTATGTTAAGTTGTTATGATAATATCGATTAGGTTGGAATATTTCAAATCCAGAGTGGAACAACGTGAATGTAATAGGACTTTTCAATCAAGCACAACAAATATGTAGGCTTAATAACTAAAAGTTGGAATATAAGTGTATAATGTGAATGTGAGGTATCATGTCAAACAGTTAATGATGAATACCGTCTTATGAATACCATCTCTCCTTCTTAAGTATTTCAGAAATGATAACGGAAATGATCATGATTACATGTATATATTTACATACACTAAATATTTTCTCCTTTATTTCTTAAGAAAATCCATTGCGTTAATCAGTGCATAAACTACACTAGGCATGTCACCTGTATCGATTTCTTGATCAGTGCCTGTTCCATCAATGAAACGTACAAAGACGTTCGCATCATTTAAACAATAATAAATCTTTTTTATTCTACTTTAAATGATTATTGAAAGAGATGTAAGTATAAACAATAAAATGTCTTTCTTTGGTTGTCAGTACGGGAATGAAGGTCGCAGCTATGTATTTTTTTCTGCAACAGCTGCGACCTTCATTCCTTTACTAACAACCAAAGAAAGCATTTTATTGTTTAAATGACGTACAAGTCCCTGTTGCCAAAGCACATACAAGCAGAATCTTTGTATGTAAGACACATTCTTACAATAATTTGTTTTGAAAAGAACTTGGATTTCATTCTGCAAGTGTTTGATTTATTAATTACGAAAATAAACAGACAAGAAAAGCATGCAAAAATTATTGAATGAATAAATTTTGATGATGAAGTAAAATTGGCGGAAGTCCCATGTAAAAATCGCTTTTCTAGACAAAAATGAGTCGTAATTGTTCCATGAACTCTATGAGTATTCGGTAGTTGGCACTCTCATGCATTTATAACATGACTTGTATTCCATAATTTAATGTTTATCTCTGTATATCCTTGTCTTTTTGCTAATTACATTTTATTTGGTCATATGTATTTATGTCGAAACCAGGATTTCTCCCCTGATAAACTCTTTGTTATGCTGCTGAGGAAAAAACTTTTTATAGTCAGTTAAAAACGCTTCAAGGCTTAAATGTTATATAGTTTTCCTATTAAAACGTGATACCTATTTGACTATAAAAAAATATTTACAGAAATAACATTATGGTATTGTAAAACTTATATTTCAGAAATAAATATGTACAACGGTTAATTCATTCACATCTTGTAAGATTAAGATTTTCAATGAATTTTCTTGTAAAATGCTATTACAATATATAAGTCGTGATAACATACACAAAAATATTAACCTCAAATCTGTGTCTATTCACCTTTAAAATATTAACTTAATAATAATTTTATTAAGAGAACGAAACATCAATTTAATGCAAAGATTTAAAAATTCAATAATATCAGGACAGATCATTCTAAAACACAGCTAATTTGTATAAGACCTGCTCTGGATTTGAACTATACCTTTATATGCAATGTGAACATTCATTTTAATATTCAGAATTACAATTGCAAAGTAAAAATGTATAGTAACTTACATCAGATTCAACAAATCAATATTAAAATGATTGAACCAAACAGAGTACGTAACCGTTAGCCAATCACGTATCAATAAATGAAATATGTTTTGATATTTATAATTAAGCGTTTGGTATAACATATTGCACATTCTTACAGGTACGCAGACGGTAGCTTTGAATACAAATTACAATATGGGCGCTACATGGGCTTTCTATTTAATTTTTGTCTTCTTTGTGGTGTCTCAGTCCACCATTATTTCGCGGAAATATACCGCAAAACTGGAAATGGATAATAAAAAATCAAATGAAGAACTTCTAGGAGAATACAATTCTAAATCTGATATAGAGTGTGCAGCCCGCTGTCAAAGGGAGTGTACCATTTTCGGTTTCCACTCTCAAATGAAGAAATGTCGAACCCACAAGAAGAATTTCACGTCGGGAGTATCTAATGAGGATGGCTGGAGATACTACTCACACGGCTGTATGTACATGTATAGCTATTATTCGTCTCCCAAAAATCTTAACATCATTTTCTCACACAACATTTAAGAAGAATTGGTTGATTATTCTTTACTATGTACAGTACTATTTTTTTCTTGAGATAATACTTTCTTATTAAGATGTAACATGTGGAAGACTTAAATGTTTTTTTTTCGACTTTTATAATACTAAATAAGAGCCTCGTCTTCGAACTTCATTTTTCTGAAATACTGATGAATTTGAAATGAATGGAATTATATTTTGTAATTTTTTTTAATTATTTTTTTTTCATTTCCCCTGGTATTATCTTTGATAAAAAAAAGTCTACTTGTTTTTAGAAAGAAACACTAATTTAGAAAGTTTAAAGCTTAAACTATGACACAATGCAGAAATAAAATTTAATTCAAATTAATAACATTTTATCCTTTGTTTACCATTAAAAAATTATTTTTTGTAATTGACTTAAAAATAAACAAGTATGCTATTTAAATACATCCCTTTTGTGGGATCAGCGCGCATAAGCCAAGGACTTGGGTCGCAGTAGGTGCGGGCACGAAAAAGATCCCTCACTGCTCAAAGGACCTGAGTGCCGCGTATAGGACAAAATCCGCAGCTCTCCATGGGCATGCAGTAACTATTCTAAAACTAAGTTTAGAACACTGCGTCTTGGACTTCTAAGCATTCTCTGCCGAATGGTATTTTTGAAAAGAAATTTTAGTTAAAAGATTTGACGAATTTAGGCAGGTAAATAATTTTAGGCAGTAAGGACGTGCTACAGTCTACTACATTGTAATTGTCATCTTAACCTTAACAATTAACCTTGATCATTCTAACTGGTATCATCCATCTTCTTAATAAATGTGAATATAAATTATATGATTCTAACACTGTGTTTTGGTTCTTTCTGTAGATTGTTTATTTTCTGCTTCCAGTAATTCCCATAGATTGTAAGGATCTACATGGGGAGGGTTACACGGATTCAGGGGTGTATGAAATCTATCCCTATGGCACCACTACCAGTACTGTAACTGTTTACTGTGACATGACGACGATGGGCGGGGGATGGACGGTATGTAATATATAATACAAAATGGTGGTCTTATTTCATTATATAATTTAAACTCAGTGTTTTTCCTGTTCTAAAGAATAATGGATGGAAAAAGATATTAATATTTTTACTTCATTTTATAACATAATGATCACACAATTGTTTGAAGCACTGAATCGTATCGCTATACACTATGTTGACTTTTAAAGGCAATCCAAAAACGCATGAATGGATCTCTGAGTTTTGACAGGGATTGGACAGCATATAAAAATGGTTTTGGGTCACCAGAACAGGATGTATGGGTTGGTAAGTGTAAAACACTTTCAAATAGGAACTTTCATCGGCTTCAAAATTTGACAAAGTGTGAATAATGAAAAAATGGATTCGTATCAAGCATCTGACTTTTAATTCTGGGTAATATGTGTGTTGGACGATTTCCGCTCATGGTAATGTATTGATATCTTAAATAATAATGAAAGCATGAAATAAAAATCACTAGGTGGCATGGCCTTAAGAAGACGAAAATAAACACTTCATTGTACAGTGTTGTATAGGAACATAATTTGATTTTTCTTATAGATATATTCATATTCATAATCAAAACAGAATTAATTGTATTCTATAGACTTTTTGTTGATTTCAATTATATCTTAATATAAGAAATGACTTAATACATCTGTTAACAAAAGAAAACAACTCATCCCTTTATGTGTCCATCATTCTCCACGATGGTAGAACGCTGTTTGAAATGTACGATAAGTTCTCGTCTCCAGTCAAACAGAGAAATATCAACTCTTTCTTGCAGGACCCGCCACGGGAACGTTAGGTAAGTGTTTAGTGTATGTTTCGTTTCTAAATCAAGTATACAATCATATACTTCCATGCATGAACAGAATATTAATTTTTTCATCAAAAAAGACACTTTGTAAAATTATTATACTACTTTATAAACGTCATTGATTCCACAATTTAACTATCATTGGTCCGCCATTGTTACTTAGCTAGGGTTTTTTGATGATTTTCTATAGTTCACATATTAAACTACTTCGGAATAGAAGGTTTTCGATGCGTGTTTGATATGTAACACTGAAAAGTTCATTAAAGCTTGATGATCAAAGAAAATTATTTGATCTGAACAAAGTCAAAATAAAAGAGTTTAATTCAAAACTTTCAATCTTTCAATGCATTTCACTTTTACGATATCTTTTCTATATTCAATGAAAATCTAATAATTGATAGCATT